ATATATATATATATATATATATATATATATATATATATATCCAATCAATAAATATAACTGCTTCTATCATATTTGGTTTAGTCCTGTGCTATTATATACTTGTAATACTGCCTTTTGAAAGAGATGACACTCATTCGTCGCCGTGTCTCAGTCTTTCACAGACAGTAAGTGGTGAGGGATAAAATGGCGTGTGCACACAGGAGCGCACAATTCTAACCAATGGGGCTCCAGTATTTACAATATTTCCAATTCATGGGGGGGTGTCTGGAACAGATCCCCCGTGAATTGGAAGGGACAACTGTATTATCATATTGTTTTTCTGTGACAGCAGGCATATTACTGCTTCTTGCTGTAGAAGTGTTTGAGCTTCATACTCAAAAATGTTTGAGTGCAGCTCATATGCACAGCACTCACAGAAAGCCACCCGTTCTAATTTGGAGGCAGAGTCACCTTTAGAAATGAGGGCAGCACAGGTGCTTTTCACTTGATTTCAGACTGCTTATTGGGAACTGTCCTGGAGTGGATGGAAATTACATCCCACTTGGAACTTTTTTTAACTGCATCACAACATGAAATTGCCTATTCTACATATATAGAAGAGTGCTGTTTTTAACCAGTGAGTTAACATTATATTGAGCGTCTATGTTTAGAGTTTGAATCCTGTTATTTAGAGTTGTTACGCCTCCATTGCTTTGTTCATTCGAAGACCAGCTGCCATGTTACACATGTAGGCTCAAACAAGTGGTGACTTCTTCTATCCTCCTCTGCTGGCATACTTGACAATATGTTCCCTATGCCATTCCTCATGGTCTGTACCTTCTGTTGCTTCCACTATTGACTTGAGTATATTTGTATATATATCCTGCCTGTTGCAGTTCTCAATTCTCGTCTTGTGTATGCTTCAGTCTTTATGGCTTAACTTCCTCTGGAAAGCAAAAGTCCACTGTTTCACATCATGTAGAGCACGGTAAAAGAGATTTATAATGTATTATGGGGATATGGGGATATGTATTTATCTTCAACTTTTTGTCTAGGAGATAAAATCATAAATGATGAAGAAAAAAGGAGAGAGAGATTTTCTTTGAAATCTGGTGGAAACATATGTACTAAACTTGTGGTTTGGTCAGTCTGTTTTCTCCACCCAGGAATTCTGTGATCCATAAACCACTACCTTGGATACTCTCATTCAGGCATTTCTGTGTAGAATATTGCCTTTCTAAGTAAATTTGAGAGAGCCAGTGTGGTGTAGTGCTTTGAGCGTTGGACTATGGCTCTAAAGGCCATGGTTCAAATCCACTCTGGGTCATAGAAACTCACTGGATGACTTTGGCCAAGTCACACCCTCTCAACCTCAGAAGAAGACAAAGGCAAATGCTTCTGAAAATCTTGCCAAGAAAACCCCATGATAAGTTCACTTTAAGGTTGCCTTACATTGGAAGCCATTTGAAGGCACACAACAATAATTGAATTTACTCTAAGTGTTTATAGGATTAAACATATTGGTCCAAAACAGATGGGCCGCTTCGAGGGTTTAGTGTTTAGATCAGGAGTAGGCAACCTAAGGCCCGGGGGCTGGATGCGGCCCCCCGAGACCTTTGGAACGGCCCCAAGCTGGTCCTGCCGCCGCCGCCACCGCACCTCGCTGCCGCCCACCATGATGATATTGATTATTGTTGTTATTACTTGTTCTTGGGGTTTTCTTGGCAAAATCTCCACAGGGGTTTTGCCATGGCTTTTCTGGGGCTGAGAGAGAGTGCATGCATATATATTTTTTAATTTTTTTTTAAAAAAATATTTATTTATTTATTTTTGGTGCTTCGGCCCCCCCAATTGTCTGAGGGACAGCAACCCGGCCCCCGGCTCAAAAAGGTTGCCTACCCCTGGTTTAGATGATGCTTGCCCCAAAAGCAGGCCTGAAACTGCTGGAAAAAGGAGTGGAAAAAATCTGTTCCTGGCAGTGGCTGGCTTCAGACCGTGGTGGTGGCCTGCTTTGAGAACAGGCCATGCAGCCGCCACAGTCCCGGACCATTTGCAGCCAGGGGCTGCTCCTTGCCACCCATTGCTTTGGGCCATTGTTTGCTTTCTAAGTTGGAAGTAGGATCCAACAATTTGAGAATCAGAACTTGTAGCTTGTAGGGTTTTGTTTTGTTTTTAAGCCTAGACTTGTATTTGTTTAGCCTATTGCTAGTATTTCTCTTATTGCTACTGCCATTCTTTGCCACCAGGTTCCTAGAGACTTCAGACAGGCTGTTATTAAGAGCCTTGCTTCAGTCTTGTGAACTGAGGGCCTTTGCAGACTGCCAGAAATAGTGCAAATTGAGT